ATTATTTCAGAGTGTATGCGTGTTGTTTTGTAAATATAAACACTGCAACCTATTTTAACTTGTTTTTGTGTCCTTTCAAACAACGCGATATGTCTGTTATGACCAGAGTGCCAAATTTTATTCTCTAATTTTTATCTTCTCCACACTGTGCATAAATCATGACCTGATATTTCAACGTAAATTATCGACAAGGCGCCTTCCGATCACCTTTGTCTCCTTTGTAAGTCACGCAAGCACGCAAGCGTTACGACCGATCACGTTTACGCAACGTTTTAGGACAACTCGGCATCTAATCGCCATTCACTTGCTGTGAAAACCTAAAATCCTTAACGTAGAAGATAAAAGAACGAAGTTTAAACTGTCAAAAGGAGATCTTGGTCAATTCCAAGAATCATGCAAATATCTTTGACACGAGCCCAATTGAGCAAATACATGGATTTGCGTTGTTTTTAAGAAGTTGGTGGATGGAAGCTAGAGATATACCCGCGGGTTTGAGGCAATCTGTGACCTCATTGGTGTATAAACTATGCACTGATATGCTTTTTCGGCCCGATTAACGCCTGCATTTTGAGAATTCTTTCGTACAATGTAGTGAATTTTTGATATGCAAATTAAGGTCGAAGAGCAGGGTCTCCTCTGATCACGCTGGTATGAAAAATATTTTAGCTGAAGTTTCCATATTTTGTCTGTGAACTAACTGAATACATCTTATAACTTGTAGCAAGATAGAATTCCGTGAGCTACATTGTTGCAGTCGCTGCGCGCTGGACGAAATCTTTGAAATTGACACTTTCGATCGCTGTTCACAGGGGTGGTCTGGCCAAAAATGATTTTTGGCTTGTGGCGACGCAAAAAAAGAGAATTGGAGAACAACTAAACTATTTTTGAAACATGTGCCCTAAACCCTTTTCATGGGCAAAAAATAAAAGAGAACTTTTTTTCCGACGGGAAGTCGAGAGGACCGCTCTTAGCGGGAGCGGCACTTAAGTTGTAATATATTTTTCTCGTCAACAGCAAACAGCAATGATCTGCCTTTGGTTTCGTCTCAAAACCCATGCTTTCAAGTTTTCGGATTTGTATAATGCGTATTCAGTGCAGGAAAATGTGAGATCATATCTTCTTCTTCCTTATAGTCTCTCCTATTGATATCTGCTGGACACAGTGAGTGTGAATGTGGATGAACGAGTGGCCCTCGATTTTCCGCCCGCAGTCGTTTCGTTTAGTAGATATTTAATAGAGAGCTCCTGAGAAGGAGAGAGAGATCCGTTGTCAACGAGCGAGTGCCGACTTTGCTCACTTTCGACAGGTTCAATTCTGTGCCATTTTTGTTCTGTTTTGTTTTGTTTTTTTAATGAAGAGTTCTGATTGTTAGATATCATTATTCAATGACGTAGGTTTTTTCAGAAGCCTGGGGCCAACTTTAGCTCAACGACCATTCGGCAATGGGCAAGACGACCGCTAACTGGACAAGATGTGTTCTTGGTGAACAGAGCGTATTACAATTTCGGTGGATATCTGGAATACACCATACGATCTGCTCTTGAGGCCGTAAAAGAGGGTTGGAATTCTGAGCTTCCATTCGATGTATGAAGCGGCTGACTACTTGGATTTTATGGTTTATGATGTCTGGTAAGAAGAGAACATTATACTTTTGTAAAAGATGGGAAAATTATGACTTAGAAAGTTTGAGTCATAAAGTTTGTTGAAAAATATCTATCTTTTTTTTTTTTTTCTGGCGCATACCTTGTAATTCAAATAATATACAGATTCAATTAAGCATTGTAAATAGTTGTAATTCTTATATATCCCATTTAAATAAGACTTCTCTATTGACGCCAATGATAATCATTTAATTTTTCCTCGATGATTTCTATTGAGGTATTTTATGTGGTTTTGTCGAGTGTCAGTATGCAAAGAGAACAATCAGAGTGATCTCCATGCATTTATAAAGAGATGTAAAACGTTCGTCAGGGAAAGAGGAACATCGTTGTAGAGTGTAACTGATAGATTTAAATAATTAATAAAGTATTCTCATTCGTTACCTGCCCGAAAGTGTCTCGTTAGTTTCTTTGCACTTTGAGAAGCTTTTATTTTGATAGCGGCTTAAGTAGCGTTCCTGCTCGGTTTAGTTCGCGGAGGGGTGGCCATGTTGGGGTAGAGCTCTCCCTTTTCGAGAGGTACTGCATAATGAAACCGAAGACCGACGAATTCTAACGTAAAAAGGCATGGGGATGACGGCTAACTCATGACACGTTCGGCACCATGTGCTGTGTACGCGTGAAGCGTCGAAATGGCATCTTACTGTAACAAGCCGTTAGTGACAAACTTGTACCCATGGTTTGACTGGTACTTAACGACGCATGTGCATAGCATGAAATTTATGTCACTGGCCTAAAATCATATTTAAAACCTAAAAGGAAATACTAAACTAAACCAAAATGTAAAAAACATCAAAACTAAAAGACCTCCAACGAGCATACTTTATGAAGTAACCTTATTAAGTGCAATTTAGCTGTCTTTTGTCTCTGTTGAATGAATTCCAACTTATAGTTTGTACAGTTGGTGTAGCATGTCTATGATACCCTCTATCTTACAAACACATTTAGAATTTATTTGAACGTTTTCTAGCCTGATATCTGTTTGCATCAACGTAAAGTTTCCAATCCCTACTAATTGTACCATTCATGTTCATACCGTGGAAAAGCAAGTTTCCCCATGACAGATTTTCAGATTCGGTCACCCTATTGCATACTTCTCACTTAACACAAGAAACAACATGTTTCAAAATACTGTGTAATGAAAATTTAAAGTCCACACAAAACAAAATATCGGAGACATACATGTCTTATTCAGTCTCGCACGCTCATTAAGATATATTTTTTGTGCGGTGTTTCTTAGCAACCAGGATTTGATTTCCCTCCTCTACCATTTCTAGTTTGTATAGGGGACTTCTATTTTCAGTCAAACTTACCTGCCATAGGGCGAAGGATACGTTTGCCATTCTTCTTGAAATAGGGCTGACAAACTGCTGTGATGCATGAGCCAATGTGTAAAAAATAACATCTATGGTGATTAAGATTAAAAACTCTTTGATCCACAGTCCTAGAGTGCTCCTAAAAGTCAGCAGAAAAGGAACATAAAAAATTTCAAACAGAAAAATTTAATGATTTTCACAGGTACACAAAAAACATTTTAAATGGAACACTAAACAGTTGGCTCCTTTGCAGTATATATTGATTAGACTTTTTATGGTTTCCTTTGTTTTGAATATACATACTGTTGCTGTATTTTAACCCTCTACACCCTAGCATCAGTACGCACATTCTCCCTTCTCTAATCTATACATTTCATTAAGCGCTATAACAAAGAAAATTGCACAGGAAATGGCGTTTCCGAGGCTCTTAATTTGAAAAATTTCTGGGAGAGCATGCTCCCAAACCCCCTCGAGTTTGTAGCGTCGCTCAATATATTTTCTACTCGTCCGTACACCTTAAAAATCTCACGTTACGCCCCCTGCGCTTTTAGAGATGATTTTGAGGAAATCTGAAAAAATTCAAAGATGCGATAACCAGCCGAATAGTTATGCTAAACGTTAAAAAAAACACTAACGGTTTAACAATTCACCGGCGGCGTTACGATAACGGTGTATTTCATAATTTCGTACGTCTATTGACGTATAAGCATTTCATCACTTCGAAGCCACAAAGTTTGTGGGATGTGATTTATTAATAATATCACAATGACAACGAGATTTTGTGAATATTATAATTCCCCGCGATGAATATGCAATTATTGAACTAGAAGCAGGGAATTATAAAGGAGTACTGAACTCTTGACGTTACGTTTGGCTTTGGTTTCTTGGTTTCATTTCTAAATGGCATAATGCTAGTATATCGGAAATTCCTAGGTGTAAGTAAGGTCACATTCGAAACTGCAGTAGCTATCAGATTGCACAGTGCGCTGAGACTTCTCCTCTTTCGTGAGATACCAACCAAGCCAACAAGCCAACTGGAAGCTAGTCATTATGTTGGTTCCAAATAAACCCGGTTGGCTCGGTTGGTAGAGCGCTGCGCCGGTGTCGCAGGGGTCGTGGGTTCGAGTCCCGTACAGACCTGAATTTTTTAGGCCTGATTTCCTCTACTACTCAAGTAGTGTTCATTACTGCGAAGATCGCTTTCGATTTGGGGTACGAACTCCTTTCTAGGCGGTACTGTACCCAATTTTTCTGCCGTATGCTTTTGCTTTTGTTTTTGCTGTCTCTGCAACGTGAGCGTGATAAGTGCTAGTGAGTGCGGGAGCTGCGTTATTAGCGCCGGCGTGTATGTGACTCTCATAACTGGTGACAGCTCTTCTAGAAAAATTTGTAGAATGAGGTAATTACTGTAAAAGTATTCTGACTTCCTTTAAAAGGAAACTGAATTGATGAGTGAATAATAAAGGAAAATATAATTACTGTGTTCTTGTTTATCGTTGCATGAGGATCTGTCTTTTCCATGTCATTCATGCGCGGCAAACGCAATCAGAAGAGTCAACTCAAAAGGATCGAATTTCTCACTAACCTTCAACTTGAGTCAAAACTTCAAGGTCTGAAGAACGTAATGTTTAGATTCTCGCTCAAACTGCTTGAAAATGTCTGCTGTACATCCACAGCCACTCGCACTCTCATCAAGTCTTAAAATCAGCGAGGATGGGGATCATGTTACGAAAGATCGATTCTTTTCAGCAAGCTGCGATTGTTTTCAAAAACGGTATCTCAGATGCAATTTTCGCGTGTGGAAATTTCTGCTATTGCTAATTGCAATACTCGTCATCATGGGCGTAGTAGCAGACTTAGCTGCAATCTTTGGTCCCGGAAAAGCTACTCTTGAAGAAGGTTTTTAATGTGTTTGAAATTAAATATCTCATTTAAAGATGAATGATTTTTTCAAGATTATGATGTCTGGCCGCACAATTATATATATTGAGGGAAAAGCAGTTTAAAATTTTGCTGTACCATTTTATTCAAGATCCACCTTTTCTATGACTTAGATATTTCAAATCATATTATTTCGCCTGTATGTCAAAGACAAAGCCTGACTTCGGCACAGACCCTTCTCCGACTCTATTCTAATCACAAATATAAAGGGGGTAAGTTTCTAAAATAACTGTGGTTATTGCAGCTCACGTACTAGAATAATTGGTTTCCTTGATTTTCATTCGTAGGTCAAATAAAATTTATTTCATTTAAGACTATGATCTGGGAAATCTGTCACGCTCGCATCCGATTGGCTCATGAAACATGAACCTGTTAAACAAGGTTTCAAACATTTTCAAATTGAACTTTATCTGCAAGCGTCGTCCTCAAGTGGTACACATCGGAAAGTATTGAAAGTACAAAAATGAACTATTTTGAACGAAACTGTTTGAATAGTTTATCGTCATGGACCAGTACCATCCAGTTAGTCGAGAGACGAGCTCCCAAAGACATGAATGGGTTGAAGCATTTACAAAAGTGCTTAAACTACATTTCATTTGATCGCATAGCGGTAACGCTTCGCAGAAAACAGAAGGCGGCTATGGGCAGTTTGCTATCATATAATTAATAGTTTAAATCGGAAACCTTTAAAAGGTTCGAAGCCGCTGTAGGCCTCACACGCACACAGCAATGAGAGCCGAACTTATCATGAGTCAGCCATTATCCCCATCTTGTTTTTCATTAGTTTGCGTGGATCTTCTGTTTTGGGTCTTGGGTCTTCATTATGTAGCACTTCTCGAAAAAAGGAGAGCTTTCCCCCAACATGGCCATTCTTCCGCGAACGAAACCGAACATGAACGCTACTTAAGCCGCCTTCGAAAAAAGAGCTTTTTTAAATGCAAACACAAACAAACAAGACCTTTGTGGGACAGGTAACGAACAAGAATATTTTATCACCTATTTAAATCTATCAGTTATACTCTAAAACGTTTTTCTTCTTTCCCTAACGAACGAATTAGTTTTACGTCTCTTTATAAATGTATGGAGATCACACTGATTGTTTTCTATGTGTACTGACACTCGACAAAACCTCATGTAATACTTCAGTAAAAAATAATCAGGGAAAAAAATGATCGCTATTGACGTAAATAGAGAGATATATCAGAACGAAAAAAAGTTTATCAATATTTCCTAAACTGATTCGAAGCTATCTGTATATTTTTGGAATTAGAAGGCATTTTCCGGGGAAGAAGTCGATATCTTTTGGCAAACTTTTTGACCCAGTCTCCTCTAACCTAAATGCTTCCTTAAAATGGTTCTTAGCTCACTTTTCTCATTTTGATTTCTCACGTGGTGTCGTAATGTCCTCTAGGACATAACTTAAAATTCACACGGTTCTTATTAAGACGCCTAAAAACGCACAAACTACTAACATTTCTAATCTATGTTAACTAGTTTACAAAACCATGATTTTCTTTTCATGCCATCATTATCAATCAGAAAATCTAAGTATTCAGCGCCTTTACGGATCGTATATATCAATTACAAGTTCAGAATTCCAACCCTCTTGTACGGCCTCAAAAGCAGATCGTATAGTGTATTCCAGATATCCACCGAAATCGTAATACGCTCTGTTCACTAAGAACACATCTTGTCCGTTCAGCGGTCGTCTCGCCCATTGCCGAATGGTCGTTGAGTTAAAGTTGGCCCCAGGCTTCTGAAAAAACCTACATCATTGAATAATGAAAATGTAACAACCATAATTTTTCTTAAAAAAAAAAAAAGTTAGCACTCGTTCGTTGGCACCTGACTTCTCTCTCCTTCTCGAGAGCTCTCTATAAATATCCGCTGTAGGTGACGACTGCAAGCGAAAAATCAAGGGCCGCTTGTTCGTCCACATCCACGCTCATTGCGTTTAACAGATATCAATAGGAAAGCCTTTGCGGAAGAGGAAGTCTTTGTAATGAATATGCATTGTACAAACCCGAAAACTTAGAGTATGAGTTTTGAGCCGAAATGATGAATATCGTTTCTGTTGACGAGGAAAAGGGATTACAACTTGAGAATCGAGGGGAAACTGTCTTAAGAACACTTGAAGTAGGTTTTTGATTTAAAAAAAAAAGCAATAATAAGCGATTATTATCCTTTTTTATTATCATTTTTCAACACTGCACTTACCAAAACCCTTCCTGCCAATATTTATACGTAGTCTCCAAAGGATCGGGAATATCACGTTGAAACTTGTACTTCAGAGCGCGTTTCAGTTCTTTGTCGATAACATCATTGGATTTAGAAATCTCCAGAAGTTTCCCCCACTTATCGCTGCATCCTCCGTTATTAGCTATTGTGTGCAAGACAGCTCTTCCGCTGGTTCCATTACCACTATCATAAAAATAAAGAACAGGAACAGGCTTTCGAGTCATAAGTCACAGTAATCCAATATAGTTCATTGATTATTTTTGCACGAGGGTGATATATCAAAAAACATCACTTATTTTAGCTTAATTTGCTTCATCATGGTCAAGATCGGAAGTATCAGCGTGATGTTTCCCAGTTCCTAAATGTTCAATTCCTATTAGAGAAAAATTTTGATGCTATTTTTCAGGTGGAATTAAACTTGCTTAATCGTAAGATATACTGGAGAATATTGAAGAACTCACCTTTTTTAACTCAGAGGGAAGTTATGCACCGATCAATTCGATGTTTCAACATTACCTGGGGCAACCCAAGGAAATTTGACTGTCGCTCGCGACCCGGAGGTGGGTAATTCGAACCTTGTCTGAGTGGGGTGTGTAATTTAATTCCGTGTAATACGTGTTTTGAATTTAAAGGAGGAGTTTAGAAGCAAAGAGTCCCCTTTTGTGAGCGAATGGCTTAGAAGAAGACTTTCACATCGCAGAATGATGCTTACAAGAGAAAAAACCAACAACGGCACAAAAAACTAAGTATATGACTACTAAATTCTACAACATTCGTTGATCACACGAAGAATCGTTTAATCAAAAATTGTGTTCGAGTGGGGCATTTGAACGCAATTTTGGCCCCGGGGGGCGGGAATTTGAACAAACTTATAAAGTTAAAATACCCGGGCGATTTTCACCGTGGAGATATTGACGCATTGTTTTGAAATTTTAAGGAAGATTGTTAAGATTTATGAGTACTAACTTGTAAGGCATGGTAATTCCCAAGCAGTCACTGCTGGATATGAACTTCTCCAAAGGCTGCAAACTGTTGTTCTTTTGAGTGGCAGTTGTATCATTCCACCATGGTTTATCATATACCGCTGCTCCATAGAAAGCAGGCACACCAACAATTGATTCAAATATTTGATGACCTGTAATATTTTGAATGACGTCACCTTCGATCTTCTTCAGAGCAGCTGGTCCAACGGTGATAACTGTTTTATTGGCTTTCACAGTTAATTTGTTAGTTTGAAGAAGAAATTTATCTCCCTCTTTGGTGATGAAAGCAACTGTCTCTTTACGATAAAGTTTACCGCCTCCACTTTCCACTTTTTTGGTGAGCTCTTTGACGATTTCGGACATTCCTTTGGAATTAGGGGGCCTTTTCGCTTCTGATGATGAGGAGGTAACATGATCTTCTTTCTTAAGATAAGTTCTATAACTCATTGGATTTATGGCTTGCATGTAGTCACCTTTGAAGCCAAAATTTTCTGCCATAAGCTTGGTTCCCTCCGGGGACAATTCGTACGAAAGGAAAGTCTCCGCGGTTGAGAACTGCGTGAAATTTCTCTGATTATTATATATGAAAGCTGCAGTTTCCATGAGTGTCTGATTCCTGAGTGGCGCACGGTCCCGTAAAGTTGGAAAGGCATTTAACTTCAAATCATCAAAGCTATTAGCAAACTGTCCACGAGCTTCGACGTGTTTAGTTTTTGGGTTCCACAAGACGTCATTGTCGTTGAATAAATGATTTAAAAGGTCCCTGAAAATGAAAACAGAAATTAATTGAATCGTACTTTTTTCCTTCTAATTTGTGTCTACGTCGTAACTTTTTAGTAGTTTACATTCTGTTATAATCTCTCAATAATTTTAATTTGCAATGTGATGTTATGGTCTCCATTACTGGCCCTACTAATTCGTTTCTGTTTTTCCCCTTTTTCTTGGATGAAATAAATCAGAGTTCAGTCTGCGCGTGATAAACAAGTAACGAAAACTTGCCTCGCTCTCGAAATGTTGCTCAGTTGCCTGATGAATATATATCAGCGGGGAATGAGTTCCAATCCCTTCGAAGTCCAAATAAGGCAAACAAGTCCAGGCCGCAATTCACTTGTGAGGATCAGTTATTTTCTAGTAGCTCATCTATGCCTCGGTATCCTTATATTACATCTCAATATTTAATGGTCAGCATTTATACTCAAGGATATTTCTATGAAATGGCTCGGCGTAGTTTTGTACTCTTAACAATTCCTAGGTACCTTTGAGCATTTCAAAAAACTGTCACGATTCATATTTCTTGACCACCAGCTAAGTAACAAGTTTGAGATAAATTGACGCTTACATTTCTGCATAGTTGTCAGCGGAAATGTCCCACTGCCCTAAGCCTGAAAAAAAAAAAAAAAAAAAAGTTGTCGTCATAAGTTTGTGGAGCGAGTAAACGATGTAAAATAACTTTTAGTCCTTAATTCAACGATAGATAGCTATTGATTGCTACATAGATACAGCTTGACTTCTGGTGTTATGTTAAACTTACCAACTACAACATCCGGTACTTGGGGAAAAACATGGTCATAAATGTTTTCAACGCTGTCCTCTGTGTCGAAGACGCAGACGTTTGTTTCATTCGTCTTGTCAAAAAGTGAATATGCCACCAATAAGCCACCCGCACCTATAAATTGAGAGAATAGACTTTAAAAATTGAAGAGATTATCAAAATAATTACTTATGCAATGTCTGACTTTCTATGAAAATATCAATACACTATCTGAAAACGTGACAGGGGTATTATCTGAATGTATTATCCTAATATGATGATAAATTCTCTTACTTCCTTAAAAAGAAATTTATGGCAAGTAGAAAAAATAGGGGGTTAAGAGACTTGAACAGTACACGTTTAAGATACTCAAGAGTAACGATCCCTTGCAGAATTTAATGCCAAACGGTGGTATCAAGTTCTCACCTGCTCCAACTATGGCTGTGTCGCACTCTAAAATATTTCTTTGGGGGTCCGTGGTCGGTGCGGCCGTTGTTGGCCCAGCAGTTGATGCAGCAGTAGCTGTAACTGCGGCAGTGGTTGTTGGTTTTTCGGTGGTTGTTGGAGCCGTACTTGTTGGTATTTCAGTGGTTGTTGGAGCAACAGTTGTTGGTTTTTCTGTGGTTGTTTTAGCAGCAGTTGATGGTTTTTCTGTGGTTGTTTTAGCAGCAGTTGATGGTTTTTCCGTGGTTGTTTTAGCAGCAATTGATGGTTTTTCCGTGGTTTTTGGAGCAGCAATTGATGGTTTTTCCGTGGTTGTTGGAGCAGTAGTTGTTGGTTTTTCGGTGGTTATTGGAGCAGCAGTTGACGGTTTTTCTGTGGTTGTTGGAGCAGCAGTTGATGGTTTTTCTGTGGTTGTTGGAGCAGCAATTGATGGTTTTTCGGTGGTTGTTGGAGCAGTAGTTGTTGGTTTTTCAGTGGTTGTTGGAGCAGCAGTTGATGGTTTTTCCGTGGTTGTTGGAGCAGCAATTGATGGTTTTTCCGCGGTTGTTGGAGTAGCAATTGATGGTTTTTCTGTGGTTGTTGGAGCAGCAGTTGATGGTTTATCTGTGGTTGTTGGAGCAGCAGTTGATGGAAAAGTAGTTGTTGCTTTGTCTGAGGTTGTTGGTTGTGCTGTAGTTGTTGGTTTTTCGGCGGTTTTTGGTTTTGCTGTAGTAGTATCCTGGGTTGTTTTAGGTCCTGTCATGGTTTGAGTCGTTGCCTCCGAGGTGGGAGCTGCAGTGGTAGGTGTGACTTTTACCGTCGTTTGAGGGCCGGTTAAAGGTTTCATACTGGCTTTTGTTTCTGTAGTAGTAGAAGAAGGCTCAGTTTTCACCGTTGTTTCCTGAGGAGTTGTTGGTGTCTGACTGGGTTCCGGCTCAGTTCCCTTCGATGGAAACGAAGGGTAAGTTGGTTTCTCTTTCTCTTTTGTGATTACGTCCGTTTCTTTGGTTGTGCCAGAAGATTCTGTTGGTGCTGTGGTGGACTCTTCAGCACCTGATGAAATAATAAAAAAAGTTCAAACATTTGTGTAACTTAGTTTTGTTTTGCTTTGTTTTTTTCTAGGAAAAATTATTATAAAATAACTTTTCACTCTTTGCCCTCATTGCCAAGATAACTACAAATGACACTGACGGCAAAAAAATTTAAGCGATGCAGTGTTTGACGCTTCATAGCCTCGTTGCGTAACATGACGAGATTGCGTAACATGACGACATTGCGTAACATGACGACATTGCGTAACATTTAAAATAGGACAATGTTGCGCATCATCCCGCGCATACTTCGTCCATACTTCGTCCATATTTCGTACATACTTCGCCCATACTTCGTCCATACTTCGTCCATACTTCGTCCATACTTCGCCCATAAAGGCCTGAGTATGGATTTTTAAATCTAAGGGAAGGGGGGGAGGAGGGGGGGGGAGGGAGAGGGGATTTGGCCTGTAGCCCCTAAAATGGAGTTGCAGTGGTGTTTGTAATTTCTATTTCTTATGATTAGTTTTTGACCAAGTGTAATTGATGCTTTAGTTGTTGTAGCAAAGTTTGAATTTTCGCGAAATTTTTCATTCGAAATAAGTCGGGATAGACTGGAAGGAGTTTTAAACTGTGGAACTACATTAATTCAAAATTCAGTTGTTGTAAGTATCGCATCACAATTATAACAATTTCGTTAAGTAGCAATTACTTAGACTGCTGGTCTCGGAACAATTTAAGATCGCTACACTATCACTACCACGAGAACTTAACTTTTAGCCCGGCTACTCAGTTAAGAGGCGTCTGAACGATATAAACCGGAATACATAAACTTCAACGGGCCAATATCTTATTCCAAAGATATTACATAAAACGTCAAAATCTCCAAGTACCTCGATGTTTTCAGAGGTTATTGAGATTCGCACCAACAGGAAAAAGAGAATGTTATCTCGTATGTGGCATTCGGTTAAGTTGTCATTATTGCAACTATTTTCCAAAAGAAAAAAAAAAGAGAACGCTTTAACAAATAAAAGTACACATTTGAAGGCTTAAAATCCAGTAAAGTAGGGATAACTCTCATAGTTTTTCCTTGGGATGTAACGCATGGTAGTCCCTATCCTTCGGCATTTTCCCTATTCGTTTCGAGACATTACTCTAAGATCCATGCCCGTTTTTAACTCGTAAAAAAAAGCCATTACAGAGTTGTTGTTTTGATCCAAAATTTACTCCTTCCATCCATCACTACATCATTCCTTCCATTCCTGTTTTGGTAGGCTGCTGACCAGTGTAAATTAAATATCGATGAACTGTTCTTAAGAATGATTAAAAATTTCCCCTTTCTAAAAGGTGAACGTTGTACTTCGGTAGTAGGGTAGTACTGCACAATTAATGTGAAATTCCGGGAGAAAGGAGGAGAGCATGCTTTTGAAGAAAGTAAATGAAAAAAGGTAAATGAACCTAATTATACAAGTGAGGACCCTTTGCCGTACTTTTCACCACTTGCCTTCGGAGCGGGGTAGTATACATTATCATAACACCAAGGGCGCGTTTTTTACCTTACCCAAAAATATTCGCGCGAGACTCAAACGAATTTTATTCATGTAAGGGTCAGAAAGGTCAATAAGCTCCATGCAGCTGACAGTTTATAAAAATTGATTCTTCTGTGAGTAGGGGCACCGTATAGACAGGACCTAGTGTTAAACGGAAAGGATGCTGGGATGGTCGTTGAATGACATTCCAATAGAAGAGGTACTACGATTGTCTGTTACGTCCTGCAGCGCAGAAAGATTCTCGATAACATTTATGTATGTATTGTTAGATCTGTCTAAGGACGTTTTCTCAAAACAGCTTATCAGTCTTATCACCGCTTTATGTCTAAAGTTAATATTATTTGAGGTGCTTCGAATTAAAATTTCAAATTCACAAAATTCATTATTTTTCTTGAGATTTGGTGCGATTCTTCTGTGAGTAGAGGAAACATATAGACAGAACCTGGTGTTACACGGAAAGGATGCTGGGATGGTCGGTGAATGACATTTCAGTAGAAGAGGTATTACGCTTGTCTGTTACGTCCCGCTGCGCAGAAAGATTGTCGATAACATTTATGTACGTATTGTTAGATCTGTCCAAGGACGTTTTCTCAAAGCAGCTTATCAGTTTTATCACCGCTTTATGTCTAAAGTAAATATTATTTGAGGTGCTTGGCATTAAAATTTCAAATTCACAAAATTCTTTCTGTTTCTTGAGATTCAGTGCAATAAGAATGGCATTGTCATCAACAATGAAATCATATTTAGGCAAATATGCTTGAGAAGTTTATCTTTACTGCTATTTTTATCATCCCAAATGGTTCTGAAATACGAATTTCCCAGTGAAAATACGACAGGATTGACATCTTTTCTTTCGAGTTTGCTTAATACTTGTGCAATGTTTTGCTTCGGAGCAGTATACGACCTCCAATTCCGATCCAGTAATCTAGTATGCGATGCATGCTTGTAATCTTCATTCATTGACGGTAATATACAATATCCTTACATTTCTCTTTCTTGTCGAAGATCACTCATTGTCTTTACAAATCATCATAGAACCTGTTACCTACAGTCTTAGTTAATAAGTTTTAGAATATAACAGTTCGCATCTGTAACATTGAAACGTGACCACAATTTTAAAAACAATTTCCTGTGTCGTAGCTCTAATTAGTTTTGGCGTTGAAAGTTCACATTTTTGATTCGATAATTGAATTCTTTGTACATTTCACTGTCATCTTTGATCATTTGATCACGATTTATTTCAGATCAATAGAATGTCCTCATGCAACGCGCAATCAAATCGTCTCATGAGAAAGAACCAAAGCTAGATCAGTATACCTGTCTGTAAAGAAACGGAATTAAAGCCAAAATGAAATATGAATGAAAACTCAAAGGTCGGTTTCGTCAGCACCCGCCTGTGCTTTCAACAAAAAGTTTGACATGAAACAGCATTCCTTCGTGTCCACGTTACGTCAGCTCAAAGTCAACATATTTTATCTTCTTTCCTGTAGCACATTACCTCCACTTTTGAGAATTGAAAAATTCAAGAAGAACAAACATTACGAACTATGTAACCGTTCTTTCTGTTTACCACATTTTAGTGGATCCGCTATGATATAATGCACGCTGAATTTTCCGTCAACCAGTATTTCTTTAACAGAAGTCGGTTATGAATGGAAACTATTGAAAAGTTGTTAGTACAAGCTCGAGCGTACATCGAGTGCCTTTGTCATTTTCAAAAGGGTAAACTTATCAAAATGTTGAATGTTTTTCTCTCTCTCTTTAGACTCTATCAGTAAATTACTTCAAGTGAAGGGTTGCATTCTAGAATTTGTCGTAAATAAAATGATATTTACTTCATAATTGAAGGGCTTTGTCATCTAAACTTTTGTCTGCGCAAAATGCAAGATCTCTATCTCAGCGATTTAGTTCTCTGAATCTCACTACGCTCTATCTGTGACGTTCTCGTCCGACGTAAAGGTGTCAACCCTAATTTGAGGTAGACAAAGACAATTAACACCTAACATGGAAGATCACGCAAGGAAAATTCATTCACTGTGTTGTTTAACCTGAAATCCATGCTGCACAAACTTCATTTAAATGCCAGTTGTCACAAGTTCAAAATAAAGTTTCTGGGTTGTCAGTGAGGGTCTCGCAAAAGTTCTCTCTTATTTTGAAAGTCGCAGATCTGACCTTTTACGTCTTCGTTTTGTTTTGTTTTGTTTTGTTTTTCCCCTCTAGTTGTTGTTGAGTTTTCTTGACCATTTATCCCGTCTGAGGGTTTCGAAATGAACTCGAGGTCTTGATTTTCTAACAGAATTGTCCAAATATCCACTGTATCCTGAGCAAGCTAAGTTGAAATCACGAAACATCGCCAGTCCTATACACCTCACGCTTATGGAAAGCTTATGAAACAAGAGCCTCCCCAAGGACATAAAACGCCGAGGCAGAGTAAATTAAACGCTTACAATAATTTACTTAATGAATTACAGAAGTCGTGCATGCTGGTAATCACATCTTGAAAGGATTATAACCTTCGAAACCTGGTTTTTGTATCAGTCCTCAGCTTTCAATTTTGCATTTTTTTTTTTTTTTTGTATGAGATAGGCTCGGGCCGGCGCAAAAACAAGAGAGGCGTGCATTTGGACCATTCGCCACCTTAATGACAATTATGAACAATTACACAAAATGCTGGTTCCTGATAAACTCAACGTGTACAGTTACCTTTACAGCCGCCTTCAGGAGTGTCTGATCCGATTCTTTTCGAGTATTTCATATCTGGACTTCTGGCAGGGCCAAACATTGCGATTATAACTACTAGTGCACCAATAATGACGATTATTATAAACAGGAATAGCAAAATATGCCACACGCGAAAAGCACATTTTTTATGGAAACAGTCGCAGCACGAGAAAGTGCATCTCTTTTTTGAATAATACTCCTGTTTCGTCATGTCGTATCCTTCTTCGCATATTCTTAACTTTGTCGAGCTGTCGAATGTCTGAATGTTGGACATTTTCGTGCGGTTTCTGCTCAAATCTAAACAAAGTTTGCTGAACTTGACTATATTACAGTGTCGCAAGAAATTTGACTCTAAGGCGATAACCCTTTTGATTTGAATGGAGCGCGCTTTCTCCGCCCAGATGACAGGCAGAAGCTACTGTAAACAAACAACTATGGAATACTTCTAAATTGTTTTAGTTTTTCTCTTTGCCTTTTAGCTCAATGCTGCATTCCTTTTCAAACATCACAAGACTTTGTAATAGTCACTCATTTCTACTTCTGAAACAGACCATATTTGAAGAACTATCATGGTCACAGCGTTTTCACGCAAATCCAGCTCCGCTCACGCAATAGATGGTACGTGCATGCATGTAGAGCGTACATCAAACATTGTTAGCTTAGTTAATCTCTTTGACACTAACTTTACATGGAAGACTTGATTAATTTTGAAGTGTGCCTTTGACATACCATTTTTGTGTTAAAACTGACATGAACTCATCCAGGAGTACAAATTGGTATAATTTGAGATGTCTCGGAAAATAAAGGCCGCCACATTGGCGCTTGTTTCCACCTTTCTCAAGTGTTCTCAAATAAATAAAGAATAATGTGACAACTTAATGCATAGCTTTGGTTTTATAACATACCGACTTCTGATGTTGTCTAGATTTGGTTTCAACCTTGACACAACCGAAGCTTCAAAGTAGAGGTTTTCTAGACGATGAAAGACATGTTTTTATTAAGTAAAAACGCTTATAACCTAGGGTTACGGTACTCTCGAAATCAAGAAGCCCAATTTCTTTTAAGGTGAGTCACGAGTTTTCTTACGTGAGTGTCCGTCTTGCGTCTAAGCGCCGGCTCTGCTGAAAGATTAATTGATATGATTGATTGATTGTAACATTTTTCCCCTTTTTTCAAAACCATTTTCATTAGCTTTTATCGCCAAAGATAAATGATTTAGCCCTGATGGATAGGACCTGTCATAGACTCAGTGAGAGATCGTAGCGCCATTGTGGCTCAGATTAAACTGTAGTTTAGTTCAAGAGATTATCAACTGATTATCGTTTGGTTAGTATTATATTAATACAGTACGTTTAAGGAAATAGTTTTAATTTTATCAGTGACTTGATTTTTCTGGGTCTGCCATAATAAGTGACAACTCTGAAGATACAGTGTCTTGATTATTTTATTAAAAGAAATAACTTTCTAAGAGTTTCTCAGTTAGCAGTGTTTTTGGCAAGCCATGAAGTAAACAAGTGAGCAACACTGAACTTATTGACTTAGTGCCAGAATAAAAAAACTCTATTGAACTTAAAAGTATTCAGGTACCGAATAGAAAATTTGTACTAATTTTGAAACAGTAGCTACCCTCATTCATAATTCACAGAGAATAAAATAAGGACAGATCGATAAATTATTAGCAAAAATACATGCCTCCGTGCATAAGCTTGAAGAAGTGAAAGCTTGTGGGCAAACCATTGGGGCCATAAAATGTATTTGAACAACTAAAAGCGGCACACTGCTTTCCTTCCTTTTTACCATAAAAATTAGCGAGATTTCAGCTAGGACCATCCATTTTCCATGAAAATCGAACAATTTTATTGCCCACGTACGAATTTCACCAAAAACGCTCACAGAGATATAACACAAGTCAACCCCAGCCTCGTTCTCACGTGTGCGCGCTTACATGTCCAATATGGCACTGAGAACTGTAAAAAAAGGCTATTCGAAAGAGTTGCATTATATTGCGATTTAGAAAAACGCTCTTCATTTTGTTGCACCAGCTTCTGTTCAATCCTGCGTCTCAAATTGTCTTTTACGGACGGTGTGGATAAAGATTCTTGAGCTGAAGACGACTCGCACACAGCTTGCGTACGCAATTTTGCCTTTGGCACCTTTTCATCGTCTTGATTGAACTCTTTTCAGGAAATTTTCTATGGAAGGGCCAGAATCAGAAGACGGATAACCTTTGATACACACGAAAACTCAAAAAAACTGAAATAAAAATAAAAATACAACGATGATCCGCACTCCTGCTAATTTTTTTGGCAAGTGTGAAAAAATTTGCAAAGGATAGTGGGATATGTAAGGAAAGGAAGGATTGGAATACTGGAATAAAGCAAAAGAAAGCCGGAATTTGAGTGGTTTTGATATGAAAACGTCCCCGCATCAGGCCGCCATTTTTTTTTCTTCGCTTTTCATGGATCGTATCACTTAAAGTGAGCTCGAGTAGCCTATTTCCCGCGAACAGATAGTCTAAAAATAAACCATTCTGTGAAAACGGCGTCACATAGAGTCAGTATGGGAGTAGCTGAACGCTCCAAGTAATGGGCTCCTGACATGTTCAGTGACCTATATGAATTTAATTAAAGTTTCAAAGCTTTGCCTCGTAGATGTAAGACAGAAATTCAAAAGTTTAACACCATCAGGTAAATACCTCCTATCAAAAGTCCCTTCAGTGGAGTATAGAAGATTTTCTTTATGGAAAGGTTTCACGATTCTCGTCAACACATTAGAAAGCATAATAAAAGAGTTGATTTCGGTTAACAGCTGACATGAAGCTTGCGCATAGCATACTTACCCCTTGACACAAGAAACAGATGGTTCAAGATTCTATGGAATGAAAATTTACAAAACGTCCACATAAAAGCTGGAGACATACATGTCTTTATCAACCTGAAGACGGGAGTCATAATAATACAATGGGGGGGGGGGGGGGGAGGGAGGCAAGGGGGAGAACACAGGCAGGTGGGAAAACGTGTAACGGGAAGTGGGTCACAGTGACCCTCTGTTCTTCCCTCCCAACCCTCACTGGTTATGGAGCCCACATAAATTAAGAAAATTAGCATAAAATTCCTCTACAGAATTGCAATTTTGCAGTTGCAAAATGCTGTAGATCTGGAAACTCCCATCGAAAATCCTTAATCTAATATGTCCATTTGCGAAGTAAGATCCAATCCTGGAATCTTCCAACCAGGCCTATTTGAGAGAGCAACAAATGCTTGAAAAATAGTAATTAGAAGGAATGCGTTGAGAAGCGTGAAAATTATTGATATCTTTCTTTTTACTATTATCATTATTTCAATGCACAAGTAGATTTTATGATTACCATAGCAACTAAATATATCTGATTAAGGAAGGGATAGCTGAGAAAAATTATTGAAAACGAGATTCTTCCCTCTAAGAAACCTAGGCAGTCAGAATTAGAGAGGATATCAAAGATGTAAAAGAACGAAACCCTGAATCTTTTGGCTCCTTATCATAGCGTGAGGATCTGTCTTTTCCATGCCATTCGCACGTGACAAACGCAATCAAGAGAGTAATCTCGGTAAGATCGAATTTCTCACTAATTTTAGCTGGAGTCAAAAACTTTATGGCCTCAAGAACGCAGTGTTTAGATTCTTGCTCAAACTGCTTGAAATGTCTGCTGTACATCCACAGCCACTCGAGCCCTCATTCGCTCTTACAATCAGCGAGGATGGAGATCGTGTTACGAAAGACAGATTCTCTTCGGAAAGCTGCGATTGTTGTCGCAAAAGATATCTTATATGCAATTTTCGAGCGTGGCAACTTCTGCTATTGCTGTTTGCAATACTCGTCATCATGGTCGGAATAGCAGTTTTAGCTGCAATCTTTGGTTCCGGAAAAGCCAATCTTGAAGAAGATTTTAAAGGTATTTAAAATTAAATATCTCAATAGGAGATGAGTGACTTTTTTTAAGGTTACGATTTCTGGCTGCACATGTCTGTATTGAGGAAGCAAGAGGTTAGATTAAAATTTCGCTGTGCCGTTTTGAGGCCTAAATGCAAGATCTACCCTTTCAGTGACTCAGGTCAAATGATGTTCTTTCGCCGCTTTGCCACAGATGAATTTAAGTTAACGATCGAAGACTCTTTTCGATCTGCAATGCACCACAACACTGTTTTGGCAAGTGAGGTAATAATTAAAGCACAATATTCAATAGTTTCGAAACAGTCGATGATTCAAGAGCTTGTTTTATGGTATTTGAAGCTAAAACCTAATCCACGTTCAACGTTTATTTACAACACGTTGGTTGAAAGCTCGCTTGTCAATAAAGACACACAAACAAGCAACAATAGTGATGTGAAAAAAAAAGAGAAAAAAAGTAAGAAATTCGAACCTTTATCATAAACCCCGTAAATCTGTTTTCCGATTTGGGCTGTTCGAAGAAACAGATGCACTCTCTTTCAGTTTCTCTGAGTCCACTACAAACGCAATCGATCAGTTCAAAATGCTAGGTCTTTCAGACACATCACTATCGTCATTGGACGCCTTGTTCCCTTCGGGAATACGTTCTGGCTCGGAGTGATATGGTTCTACAGCAGCCGTGTTTGTTTCACTGCTTCAACAACCATAACACAACTAACAACCACAGAAAAAGCAACAACCACAGCACAACCAACAACCACAAAAAAACTAACAACTACTGCTCCAACGACCACAGCACAGCCAACAACCACAGAAAAACCATCAACTACTGCTAAACCAAAAACCACCGCACCATCAACCGCAGCACAACCCATAACTACAGAAAAAAAATCAGCTACTTTTCCACCAACGAGCGATGCTCCAGCAACCGCAAAAAGCCAACATCAACAATCCCAACCTCTAAATTTTAAGCTTTTAAAATTAGTACTCTCGGGTTTGCATAAACTTTCTCGAACTCTCCCAATCCTTTTCGTGTTTTAATGAAGCTAAGTAAACACGCGAAAAGTCCACTATGCTTCATTATACGTTTTTGTGAGTAGCATCACTGAGCATTTATATTTTAAGAGCTCAACCGAGTTCAACCTTTATCCTCTGACGCTGAAACTATTATTTTTCATGATCTCGAATTTAAGCTTTCTGATTTAATCGATTGATCTCCAGATAGTAAACGGCTGCTAAGTACCTGTGTCAAAGAAGAAAAGTTCATGCACCCTTTCATTGTTCTTAGTTCGCAGACTTCTGGTTCTCAAGTACAGGCAGCACCCGATTCTTGCGAAACGTTGTAGTCATGCGATCAAATGATATTTAGTTTAAGCAACTCGAATTCGTGCTTTGGACA